GCATAGAAAACTTTCTGATGTGCATTATAACAGAGTAACGAGCGAACGGCTGGTTTGCATTTTTAGTGAACACAGTGACAAAAGATGCTTCATGGAATCAACCGTGAAATCAGATTTTGCATACATTAAGGGTTTGGACCAGTCCTTACATTATGCATTTCAGAGTGCATGGGAAAAATCTCAAAAGAAGGTGCCAGGAATGTTCAGCCTTCAGAGGCGCCCATTCTTTGCTGGTACTACAATTACACCATTTTCCCAAAGGGTGAAACTTGGTACTCTGGACCACTGATGCCCAGGGCAGTAGCCAATACTCTCTTTGTGAGAATTCTGGCCTGATGAGAATAGATCTGTAGGTGACAGGAGAGACCTCACATTCACTGGCAAAGAGTAGAAGAAATTAGAGATTAAAAGAACAAAGTCTTGCCTAGGGAAGCGTAACACCTACATCCAACTCGACTGCAGTGACAACTCTTTATAACTCAAAAGCTGCTGCAGTTGTGGACATGTCCTAGGTGGGCACGTCCTGAGCAATAAATGGTCATTTTGCCCTGCTCTACCTTTCTAAGAAATAGCAAAAGGCTTTGAGGGCTCTCTCCAAACTGAGTGGTGCTTCTGGAGGGTGGAAAGATGTTCTAGAGGTAGGGTTTGTCCAACCTGCTCTTTCAGCTGACTCAGATCATTGCTCACTTCAATACTCAGAGTTTGTACTGAGGTCCAACGTGCTACAGCTCCAGCAGCTCCACAAACAGCAAAAAAAAAAAAGGATGCAAGGCTCCATTTTGCATGCGAGAGAGTGAGGAAGGCAAATGGTAGTTGATGGAATCAATGCTCACTGACAATGTTAGAGTCACAGGAAGTTTTGGGTTGGAAGGGACCTTAAAGCTCACCCAGTTCCAACCCCCTGCCACAGGCAGGGACACCTTCCACTAGACCAGGTTGCTCCAAGCCCCGTCCAACCTGGCCTTGAACACTGCCAGGGATGGGGCAGCCACAGCTTCTCTGGGCAACCTGTGTGAGAGTCTCACTGCGCTCCCAGGGAAGAACTTCCTAAACCCTCATCTCAATGTCCCCTCCGTTCAGGTTAAAGCCATTCCCCCTTCTCCTGTCCCTACAGGCCCTTGTAAAAATAATAATAAACATTTGCTATTATTATATCACTATTATATGTAGTTACAACTATATACATGCTACATGTGGGCATTTTCTTTCTTCTTTGCTTTATACTACCTTAAATTAAAACAGCGTACATGAATCCAGTAGAATTCTTGCTCCGAAGCATGGGTGTGTGCTAGATGCTGTGCAGTGGTTGCATACTTCAGCTGAGCAGTGGTGCCACAGCAGCTTCCTGTTAGTAAATTCCCTGTGTAAACAAACCTGTGCACCTCACAACCTGAAATTACAACTTTCAGAAGTGTGAACTCTGCACATGGGAACTCTGCTCCAGAAGCCTTGGGATGTAGTAATTCTGTCAAAGGTGGTATTGTTTTGTAGCCATCAAAGTAACAAAAATACTGTCCAGCATTTTGGAGTAATTTATTTAGTTTTTATTTAGCCTGCTGAGACTTGCCAACGACCTGCCTCCTGCTCTCAAGTTGCACTTTGAGTTGGTATTTAAGCAAGTGATAGTGTATTTTTCCCTCCGCTGTTGCACAGGGTGGGGTGGACGAGAACCTGGAATCCAGCAGTTGTCTCTGGCTTGCAGCCATGAGAAGCCAGAAGGCTTGGCGAACAACCCCAGCAGGCGGGAGAGCATCGGATGATGCCTGGGTAAACAGGGATTTTGGCCACTGACATCACAGAATCATAGCATTATGGAACGGTTTGGGTTGGAAGGGACATTAAAGCTCATCCAGTTCCAACCCCCTGCCACGGGCAGGGACATCTCACATTAGACAAGGTTGACAGCATCTTTGAGGTAGCCTTGCCTCATGCTCTTCTGAAAGAGCTGTATGAATCACACCTGAGGATGGGGAGTAGGACCCAGATGTTTGCAGGACCAATGAACAAACACAGTAAAGTCAGCCTTAGAAATGCTTAGTGATGTTTGCGTTTCATTTTAACTATCAGCTATGGCTTTACAGAAGGTGTACCAAACAGTACATCACTCTGCAGTATTAACGGATAAACATTGAGGCAGATTTTAGGGCATTCTGTATTGTAATGTGTAGGGTTAATACTGTGGAAATCAGTCCCATCATGTCAGTCAAGTATCAGGGGTACCACATGGAAGGTTTGGATGATCTTTACCTTGAAACCACAAACATTGGAGCCGGTCATGTATGTATGTGTCATGTACAGATAAACGAACTACACTGGAAGGCAAGGGGTATGTAGAGTGTCGTTAAGAACTAAGAATGCTAGGAGAGAACCATCACATGCTGTAGAGACAGAAGACACGAGGTCTGGGGTATCAGATATGACCAAGTGGGTATGTTCCATATCTGCAAAGCTGTGAGTGACACTGGTTGTTGAGGAAGACAGAATTACTGAATGGGTTGGGTTGGAAGAAACTTGGGCAGGGACAGAGGCTGTTTGCCTGGGGCACCGAATCTCGAGGTTAGGAGGGCTGGCGAAGGAGAGATTCCCACAGGAATCCCCGTGGGGTACGCAGCTAACACGGTGCGGTGAACAGAAAGGGTGCAGCATGGAGAAGAGTGTCCGGTGTGCCACCGGCGCACGGAAAGGAACGCGCCGGTTGGTAACACACGGGAGGGGACCATCGCTCCGTTGCCAGCAGCCATTATGTTAGCGGAATGACAGCAGCGAGGGGCGGCACTGGCCCGGCGGCGCGCGGGGCACGTGACGGTGCGTGGCAGGTGGCGCGTGGGACGCGTCACGCCGGTACCTGTCACACGAAGGACAAAGGCTCTGGCTTTCCGCGCCACGTGCCAGCGGCGTCCCGCCGCAGCCGGGCACCCGCGGCGGGGGGGGGGGGGGGGGCAGGAGGTCTCGCCCGTGCCATAAAGGCCCCCTCAACGTGCGTGTGGTGGCGCGCGGGCACCGCTTCGGTCCGCTTGGGCCGCCCCGCCCCGCCCCGCCCCGCCCCACACCGGAGCAGCGCGCGGCGGCGGGTACCAGGCGGGAGCGCGCCCCCGCGGCCGCCCCACCCACCGCGGAGCCGGGCGCCCGCCTCGCCTCCCCTCCCCTCCCCTCCCTCCGCCAGTGCGTGCCAGCCGCGCTCGGCCGTTAACAGCGCCGCCGCCGCCGCCGCCGCTCCAGTCAGTCGGCGGGAGGGAGCGTGGGAGAAGGCGGCGGTGCCCGCGCTGTGGCTGGAGCGGCGGTCGCGGGGGGCGGGGGTCTCGGTGAAGGGAACAGCCGTCTTCCTCGCCACAGCCGCCGGGAGGAGGGACGCGGAGAGCAGGGGTGGGGGGGGCTGAGCTGAGCGGAGCGTCGTGTGGCGTCGCCCGCTCCCCTTTAGGACCGCGCCGCCGAGCGACCGCAGCCGGCGGGGAGGAAGGGGCGAGTCTTTTCGGAGCCTTCTTCGTCCCGCAGCTTCCCTTCCTAGGCCCGGTGCCGGCGGGAAGGGGAGGGGGGCGCCTGCGGGGCGCACGGGTCCCCTCAGTTTCGGGCTCGGCGGTGCCCGGGGCGGGTGAGATGTCGGGCTGAGCGGGTGCGAGCCCGGGGGTGGGGTCCGCCGTGCCCGGGGAGGGGGCAGGCGGGAAGGAGTGTGTGTGCTGGGGGGGGTTGGGACTGTCCTCTCAGCCGTCCCGCCCCGCCGCCGCGCTGCGCCCATGGTGATTGTGCATCCCGGCGCCTTCCCGCCGCCCCGTGCGGGCCGGACAGCCGGGGCGCCCAGGTGGGTGGCAGCCGCGGCCGCTTCGGGGCTGATGGTGGTGGTGGGGGGTGTGTGTATGCAGGCGGCGGCCGCTCGTTGTGTGCGACGGCGGCACGGGCAGAAGGGCGGGCGGCGGCTCCTCGTAGTGGCTGCCGCCTCGCCCATGGCGTTCCGCGGGCGGGTCGCGCTCGGGTGGAGCGCTGCGAGTGCGCCGCCGGGGTCAGCTCCCGCCTTGCGCGCCGGCTGCGCGCTCACACGCGTTCGGTGTGTGTGCAAAGCCGCCGCGGAAACGGGGTGGAAAACGGCTCCCGTGAACGTGGGGGTGTGCGGTTTGTTGGGGGCAGTTTCTGCCCGTGACGCAGGGGGTGTGTGTGTGTGTGTGTGTGTGTGTGTGTGTGCTGCCGAGTCTTAGAACGGAATCTTTCAGCTGGGTTTCTTCTCTTTTGTTTTCTGATGTTTGAAGAGCTCATGGCACATCGGTGACTTAACTGATCTGCCGGGGGCTCCAAGTGCGACTTTGACTAAGCATCCTATAAACGTGTTGTTTTGGCTTTTCGTTTTGGTCACCCTTTATAAGCGACAGTTTGTTTTCTATGGCGGAGTGGGGTCTGATGCCTAGGGGTGTATGCTTCTGACCTGAAACGTACTTTTCTCTAGTCTCCTCATCTGAATTCTGAATGTTATTCTGGAGGAGGGGTTTAAAGACTCATGCGAATAAATAGGAATAGTTTCTGAAGGTTTTAAAACTTAATTTCTTCTTACGTTCACGTGTAGGCGCAGATTTAACTTTCCTTTGAGCACACATTCTTCAGTTAAGGAATAAACTGCTTAACCTCTTTTTCCCCTTAAAACGGGCTTCTGTGGTAGTACATTTCTGTAAATCATTTAAAGTTGTACGTTTCGCAAATTTGTATTCTTTTGGCTTTGCTTACTGTGTTGTACGGTACCTTTTCTTCCGGTGGGATTTAGTTTATCTTTGTTAGATACCTTTGTATGTTAGTTTATGCCTTAATAGAGATTTTTCTCCCCTTTTCTTTTTCCTCCCTAGGTGTTTGTGACTTCAGAGGCATTTAGGGGTTCAGTTCTGAGCAAGTAAGAGACACGAGGATTCAGTTTATTTTACATAGAAAGCTACAGCGCTTCACCAGTACACTCTTCCCTCCTTCCCGTCCCTCTTCTCCCACAGGGGAAGACAATTTGGGAGTTAATTTAGCAGTCATTACTCTCCCTTTCCCCCCTCAGAAATTTCCCTTGTTACCTGAGGCATCCGCTATACGTTGCACGTTATAGGACTTTGCTTGCTTGGGGAGCTTCAGTAGTACCCTTCCCTCCAGAGTGCAGAGAGGCATCCAGAAGACTGCCCTGCAACCCTTTGTGGTTAGTAGAGGATCCAGGGAAAGGGGTACCTAGGAGGACACGTGACCTTGTGAAGGGAGCCAGAACTGAAGCAGCACTTGGCACGCTGAAGGGAGGAAGCACCCATCTTTGGTGTCCTTCTCATCTTCCACTCTTTTCCTCACGCAATTTCTGGTAAGTCTTTTCGGCCCATTCATTCATACAGTGCATGTTTCCCTTCCCCCACGCCAGGCGCTGGGAGAGGCACAGAGACAGAGAGGGGGTGGGGAAAGGGGGGAGGGAGAACTGCCTGTATACACACGGATCGGGTGGGGGGGAGGCAGAGAACCGGGGGGTTATTGTGCCACATTGCAGGGGAACCTGGGCAGAGGTAGAAGAGCCTCTCTTCATAGAAGGAGCTGGTGTGGGAGGAAATGTATGTTTTATTTGCATGCACAGGCAGAGTGGAGCGAGGTGAAAAAGCTGAGAGCCTGTTGTAGGGGGGAAAAAGCCACCAAGGCAGAAGCAGGAGAGATGATGCTGACCAGTATGGGGCTAGAGTGAATGGATGATTCACTGGAGATCTGGAGCTGGGGTGTGTGAATGGGGCATGTTATCACCTACTTGCAAGCATGAACCTAGAGGAGGAAAGGCTGGGGGTGTGGATCTCTGCCTTTTAGAGGCAATTGTGCCTGGAAGGTTTGCAGCTAATGTCTTTAACATCAGTCAGTGCAGAGGTGGGGACAAGCAGATGAAAGCCATCAGGGAGTGCAGTTGCCTGTCTGCGGATGTGGAGGGTTGTACTGGGAATGAATGGGAACAATTAACATATTTCCATATGCCTTGATTGTTGCAGTCTAAAATCTCATACTGAAAAGGAGGTAGATACTGTGATAAGCTTTCAAAGAGGTGTGCTTGGGGTTCACCTGCCTGCAGTGACTTTAAATTCTATGAAGCATGTGTAGAGGGCGGATGATAATGCAGCAGTGCTGGACAGATTGCAGTGCAGCTGCTCAATTTATTATATAAAATGCATTCAAAGAAATACTTTAATTTTTCAGATTCTTCAGCTTTTAAAAATGTATTATTTCCAAGGATTCTCATATGGTTGTATGACAGGCTTGGGAAAACTGGTCTCTGGTAGGTAAGAGAGGGATTTTTCTTGAGGTTGTACTTAAGCATCGCCATGAAGCAGCAGTGTCAGGAAGGAGTTGGCTTACCTTGGATTTATTTTTCTAAAGGAAATTGGACAAGTGGTTCAAGATGTTAGTTTTTATGTCTGTATATATTGCCATGGGTTATATTCATCAATGGGTTATATACATGTTTTCTTTAAGTGATCATCATTATAGTATCTTTGTGTGATGAATATTAATTGTGCTTTATACTTGAAACAGCTGTGAACTGTTTTCAGGCCTGGTCTCTCTATGACATAGTCAAATTTTCTGGGTTGTTTCAAGCGCTGCTTTCATTAAGATGAGACAGACTTCCATGACAGCGTATGATAGATCATACGCAGGGTCATATGCCAGAGCCTTCGTTAGCTGTTTGACCGGTCTGCTACCTAAAATTGGCTTTGTAATTCAGATTTGCCTCGAGATACCTCCTGAAAGAGGTAACTTATGAGTATCTGCCAACTGTCCTTAGGTCTTCAGCATCATGAGGTGTGGCCTCCACAGTAGGATTTTAGAAACTGCTGCAATGGTAGAGACAATTGGTTTACTGAAAGTGTGTACTCTGTTTCAAGCCTTAGCAAATTTATGATTAAAAGGAAAACAAAATACGTTTTCTAACTTAAGTGTTCTGGAAAGAAGTATTAAGGGATATGCATTAATGATATGTAAGAAGGTGCAGTGTTATTTGTAGTGAGGTGAGTGCTTAGAGCTTATTTTTCTAGTTCTCAGTTTCCCATGGCAGTCATGACTGTCAGGCTCTTTGCTCTTTCCTTCTCACTTCTGTGAGATTTTTATTATCGTTACCTGAGCTGTAGGGATTAAATATGCCTAGAGGTGTGCGAAAACTAAGATTAGGTTTTACTTCTCTATTAACTTCTGAAATCTATAGAGTTCCGTGAGCTGCATAGTGCTATAACTAAGGCCAAGAGTTTAAGCGAGATCTGAAAAAAGAGACGATTCTGGGAGGGGCTGATAGTAATAATTGTTCCACTAACTTGATTCCCAGATTGCACTGGGATCGGCGTGATCTGGGATAGTCAATGGGAGTGTACTATAACATCAGATCACAAGCTGAGCATTTGCGATAGCCAGGTCACATCGATTCCTGATGCTGAAAAACATCTGGAATTCCATTCATGGTTCCCATAGGACAGAAACAACCTAGCCTTTTTAATTTACAGAGGCGTTGAGTAGTTGAATTCTGAATAGAAAGGGTATAATATTTTTGTGTACTAAGTATCTTTTATGGTACACATTTATCATTAATACATAAATTAATTAGTATCTCCTAATAACTGGTTTCTTGTTTCAGTTTAGGGAAAAATACATCATGATGAAAAAGAGACTAGTCAATTTTTCTCCTGCTTTTGGGTGTTGAGGAGAGGACAAGGAGTAAATGTGCAATAGAGACCAGTATCCCATTCCTGCAGGCAGGTTTGAAAGGCTCTCTGTGAAGGGGAGACCCCTTCAAAGGAAAGAGTCATGTTCAGAGATTTCCAGTTCTCTAGACAGCTGATCTGCTTAGATGAATTCCTTGTTACGTCAACCAAATGTATTTGTATATGATGTAAAGTAGAAAAGTAGCAGAGTGAGTGTTGGGGTGAGTGTTGCATTCCCTGTATAAATTGCTAAAGCTTTAGCAATTTATAGAGGGAATAAATTGTTTCACAGAGTCTTTGTTAAGAAGATGTAGCTGTGTCTGCTTGGCTGGCGCGAACACACAGTTTAATTTTTAATCATAGTTTTTTCTTTGCTGCCAGTTTACCTGTCCCAGTCTAACATGTTTTTCTTTTCATTTTAATTTCATGTCTATTAAATAGTTATTGAAAGATGGTACTTACATTGATTATACTAGCTTTACATGAAACTGCATTTAAACTGGTCATCTTGAAGACATTTAGACATCTGCTCTTTCCCTTATATATACTATACTTACTTTGCAATAGATGCATTCATGGGTTAGGAAGTATTCCATGCACACCCAGCATTGTCTGAGGCTGTGTCTGTTAGATTGAAATGGGTGGAGTTGGCTTTCAGGGAAAAATTCTGGAAATCATATCCAACTTGAGAGCTTAATGCTCTTGTGCATCTGACGGCAAGGCAAGCTGTCCTCCTACAGACAATGTGCTTGAGAATGTGGGAGGGATTAAGATGTTTGGGTTAATAGGGTAAATTACAGGTTTTGTGTTTTGTGAGACTTTTTACACAATCAAAACAGAGATTATAAGGAGAGGTTGAAACTGTTAAGTAGATTCTGGTTTTAGGAGCAGAGCGTTGGTGTGAAAAGGGTATTTCTCCAGGTGGAAAAAAAATGTTTTGGGTTGGAGGTCAGAGAACTGATAGTTAGGATTGCTGGTTTCTGCCTCTGGTTTGTAGCTTCATCTAAGGTGAGTTTTTTAATCTTCACCTTTATACTTCAGGTTGCTACCTTCCTGCCTCATGATGAGGTGTGAGCCTTTTTATACACGCTTATAAAACTTAGATTTAGAGGAGATGAGACATAGTATTAGGAGGGAGATAAATACCCATACCCAAGGCGTTTTTATATGCCTGCTGGTTTAATGTGCTGATTAAGATACCTGCATGGTTCTTCTTGATGATGCTATAGCTCCTTTAAAAAATAGCAGAAAGATGGGGGATAGAAAAGGGTGTACCTTCTTTTTCTTTCTTCTTCAACCCTTTGCTGATTTTCAGGAAATCACTGTTGAAATGGCAGTCAGGGCAGATGATGGAACAGTCTCTGCAGATTCAAGGGAGTGGAGGTGGAGCTATGTAGAAAAGATATTTGAGAAAAATGTGAACAGATCGCTGTTGGCAAATAAATTAAGGGTTAGAAGCAAGCAAAAATAGGGGAGAAGGCTGCTGAAAATACTTGTTTCTTTGCACCAGTGTTAGAAGCAGTAGTGAGCGCAGAAACCTTCCACCATCACCAAACAACAAATCAAAACCCCAAACAGGCTGAAAATATGTAATGTTTTGTGATTTTTATTATTTTTTAATTATATCTGTCTGTCAAATGTATTTTTTTGGGTGTACTCCATGTTCTATAGCTGTTACGCAAAGCAAGGTGGGCCAGCCTATTAAGTGGAGCTGCTTTTCAGAAGAGAGGCGGTAGATGGGGCTGTTTGGTCTCCCCAGTCATTCATGCAGATAGAAGAAATAAATGGAGAAGAAGCTTTCTAAGCTGTGCCATAGCAGTGCCATTTCTGGAAAAGGTATTTTGTCCTGATTCTTGGCTGAGGATGTTGTCCCAGGAAGCTTTCTGTAACCTACTATGGAGAGAAAGCCATGGTTGAGAGAGCCAGAAGTGGGGCAGGATCTTACAGTTGTCAGCTGGCTACTGCAAGCCCAAGCCTCATCCTGCATTTTTCACTTTCAGCTGCTTTGAAGAAAAAGGGGGTTCTGTGAGATATCAAAAATACTTTTTACAGCCTCCCTTACCCATTTTCCTGCAGGGAGCAAACAGTTTTTCCTGCTTTACCTTGAGCATTTTAACTGCTGTCAAGGGCTGGTCTGCATTTGGGATTGCCTTTCCATAGCTTCTGCTTTCTTTCAAGCTGTTAGAATGAAGAACTTTAGTTCTTGGCTTTATTGTTGCTGTTCATTTACCAAAACAATGGGAAAAAAGTTTGCTTATTGTCATGGTTCTCAGTATTAGGAACGAAAATGTCAACTTAAAAATGTATCTCCTTCAGAAGAAGCTGTGCTAGTACAAGAAACTTGGTTTAAAAATAGTAATGCTAGCAATAATAATAGAATCAGCTCATTCTTGTAAGTTGTAGCAAAGTAATAGTTTTGTCCCAAGATCTGCTGCGAAAAATGAAATTCTTTGTGGTATCAGATGAAAGAAGTTGTATACTTCCGGTCTGTCTGCATTTTGACTTTCTGTTGACAACAGGTCCTGTCACTAGGACTGCTGGGCAGAGCTCCCGTTTCTCTCCTAGCCTTCAATTCTGTTTGAAACTCATGTAAGCTCTGTTGGTGAAAACAATGATTTCTATCTCTGTTTTAACGTGAAAATTTAAAATGTGTCGCAGAAAACAGCTGTTTTTCTCCATGGTTCATTTTACCCACATCATGCTGCTTGTTTCTCTTGGGTGTAGATGAGTATACCATTAACAATAATTGTAATTGTTTAGCAGCCTTTACAGTATTTTAGTATACAGTCAAAAATAGTCCGGGTGCCCTGTATTCAAAGCAAAAGGAGCAGTACCTTGCTGTTACCACTTCTGCTGCCATTGTAATTGAAATTCTTCAGTTTGAACTAGTTTTTTTTCTAGTTTTGGTGCTGAATTTTTGCTGGTGCTATTTATGTATATAAAACTGATATTGAAAAAAAAAGAAAAAGAATAAGGAGCAGGAAAGGGCTAGCACTGATACTCAAACCTTGATTTTGCTTTAGGTTCCATGTTGGGTATTCTTAATACTTTGTTGATGCTCCTTGTTCTGTTGAGTAGTTGTTGTTGGTTTGTTTTTGTTTTTTTTCTTTTTTTTTTCTAGTAATATGTTACGGATAGTACAGTGGATGTGAAGTAATTGTAAGAGCAAATCAGTCTTGAAATACTGATGTGGAAGATCCTGTTTTAATGGGTTTCTTCTTCTTGTTCAAGACTGCTCTTTTAACATACAGAATTTGGCACACTCTGTTGTCTTCTGTATATGGTGGACAGGGATACATTTAAGTCTGTCACTGGTGTTTTAGCAGTACCTCGGAGAGGGCCTGAGTTATTTCCATTTGTAAGGAATTATCCCAATCATGAAGTTGAAATTCTGGCCTTCAGAGATGGCCATCCATACGTTTTCAGTTCTTGGCATGCCCCTTAGTACAGTCAGGAAAGCACGATGCTACTACCAGTAGTTACGTGAAGTGTATACTTCTTGTGGATGAAACTAGCATGAGGTTCAAGACCTGATTTTTAGCATCTGATTTCCATTGACTGTAAATGGATTTGTTCCTGTTGCTGCTTCTGCTGCAGGTTAGGTGTAGACATTATTTTCCCACTTGGAGGTTGGAAGTTGCACTCCATTGAAAAGGACTGACTTGTGCAGAGGGAGTAGGACCTGGTACATTGGGGAATATGAAGATAGGAGCCTGTGTACTCTAACAGAGTCTCATCTTCTCCACCATCTAGAAGTTCCATTGAAAGGAGACCTTGAAGGTTGCAAGACAACTCCAAGATGTGCAGTTCAGTTGCTCCCAGGCTGTGGTTCTTAACAGACCGTCGCATCAGAGAAGATTACCCTCAGCAGGAGATCCTGAGAGCACTGAAGGCCAAGTGCTGTGAAGAGGAGCTAGATTTCCGGGCCTTGGTGATGGATGAGGTGGTGCTGACCATTGAGGATGGAAATCTCGGTGAGAATGAGATAAGGCTGGGAATGTGCTGAAAGGCTACTTGGAAAAAAGATTGTAAAATGAAGCATCTGTACTCTTCAGTAATGAATTTCTTGTGTGCCAGAATACCATACATGACCTAATTCATGTAGATCTACATGACATCATATTCTTTAACATTTGTGATAATCAAATATAATTAATTTTTTTAATTTGCATTGGACTATTTTTGCCTTCCCTTTGTAGAACATAGAGGAGGGTTGCGTTAGTGTATTGATTCCAGGATAAGGACCTCTGAATTAAGAAATTATGGTGTTTCATTTTTTTTGCATAGGTACTTGAAGTTTATAGGTCACATTAAAGAGTTTCAGGAGGACTTTTTTCTTCTGTTTGTTTTCTGAATTCAAGATAGCAAGCATATTTAAAATGAAAAGGAATTTTCAATGGACAGTACCAACTGTCATGGAGCTAGAGGTAATGAGGTGACATAACTAAAGCAGGACTCTTTATCAGGGACTGTAGCAATAGGACTAGGCATGATGGGTTCAAACTGAAACAGGGGAAGTTCAGGTTAGATATAAGGAAGAAGTTCTTCGCTGTGAGGGTGGTGAGGCACTGGAACAGGCTGCCCAAGGAGCTGGTGAATGCTCCATCCCTGGGAGTGTTCAAGGCTGGATTGGACAGAGCCTTGGGCAGCATGGTCTAGTGTGAGGTGTTCCTGCCCACTGCAGGGTCCTTGGAACTGGATGATCTTAAGGTTCTTTCCAATTCAAACCACTCTATGATTCTTATTCTATGCTGCTGTACAGACATATATACAGTAACGTATATGCCAAATAAGAATCGGTCTGGAAAACAGAGTATGTACATCATAAAAATTTGTACTGTTACAAGAACTTAAGAGTGTTTTAAACTAAATTGTAAGGTTTCTGTTCTATTTTACTATTAGCTTTTTTTCTGTGGTGATTAGAAGGAAAAGCAAGATATTAAAATATGTTAGGAAAGTTAAATAAGATGATTCTGTAGATAGTAAGCTTATGTTATGGGAAAAATGCCACGCTGTGTAACACTATCATATTTTTCCAAGTCTTTAATTTGAATTTCCTAAAGGAAGGAGGCTTCAGTGTTCTTTTGTACCTTCACTTCTTCCATTTATCTTCTCCATATATCCATAAAAAAAACCCCAAACAGACCAGTGGAACTCCAGGGAAAGATTAAATTTCTGAATAAAGTATTAGAGTAATTCTTTGTGGGGAGAAAACATAAAAGCCCTGAAGCTCAGCCCTGAAGAAGAGGTTGCTGTGTGTTCTTATACCTTATTCCTTATTGGGGAATCTACATAGGAGGGAAATCTTAAAACTGACTTAGAGGAAGACCTTTGTTCTTGAAACTCTGTAGGATGTGTTCAAATCAAGGCAACTTATTGTCAGAAAGTCTGAATATCTTACTGTTCAGAGTGTGCTGGCCTTCAGACAGCATGTTCTGTGAAGGCAGCCCTCCAGGACAATAGCTGCAGACTCTAAGATGCAGAATTGGTCCTTCAGCATTTCAGTAGCGTGTTTATTTCTTGGTGGTGTGTTTTCTGCCTGTTTTTTTGAAATTAAATGCAGCAAGCATGAGTTGTGGGCCTTTATGCTCTCTTCTATTTAATGCAGGTCGAAGGAGGTGATCCTGCCCCTCTACTATGCTCTTGTGAGACCTCACTTGGAGTATTGTGTGCAGTTCTGGTGTCCTCAACATAAAAAGGACATGGAACTGTTGGAACAAGTCCAGAGGAGGGCCATGAGAATGATCAGGGGGCTGGAGCAGCTCCCGTATGAAGACAGGCTGAGAAAGTTGGGGCTGTTCAGCCTGGAGAAGAGAAGGCTGTGTGGAGACCTCATAGCAGCCTTCCAGTATCTGAAGGGGGCCTATAGGGTTGCCGGGGATGGACTCTTCCTTAGGGACTGTAGTGACAGGACAAGGGCTAACGGGTTCAACCTTAAACAGGGGAAGTTTAGATTGGATATAAAGAAGAAGTTCTTTACTGTTAGGGAATGGGTTTCCCAGGGAGGTTGTGAAATGCTCCATCCCTGGCAGCATTCAAGGCCAGGTTGGACAGTCTTGGGTGAAATGTTTAGTGTGAGGTGTCTGTGCCCGTGGCAGGGGGGTTGGAACTAGGTGATCTTGAGGTCCTTTCCAACCCATAGTATTCTGTGATTCTATTCTATGCCTCCTAATGCATCTATTGCAAGTAGAAGAAATAAAGCATGCAAGTTGGAAAACCAATGCTGAGGAATGTGTAGTTATAAGAACGACAAAAAAAAGGGAAATGACTAGGAAGAGAATATAAAAAAGGAAAAATATTTTCCTGCAAACTGTTCATTCAAACTATGTAAATGACTGACCTTTTGAAAAGGAGAAAGATATAAATGCTGAAAGATTCTGGGTAGAAATTTCCTTACAAATAATCTGACCTAACTGTGATCTTTTTGGGTGGGATGTAGGACTTGTCGTTTATCAAACAGTTCTTTCTCTTGGAGATAGATGGAGAATCTTCCCTCTTATTTTCCCAGGTTGTTTTTTTGTGTTTTTTTTTTTTTTTTGTGCGTTGGTTTTTTTTTTTAGTGCTTGCCTATGTTTTTTGATACAGATTTCTGGTGGAGGACACAAGCAAAAGTGTTGTGTTTTATTTTCCTTTGTTAAAAGTCCTCAGTTGGCCTAGGAAAAGATGTCCTGGAGCAAAATCCAGGAGGTAATGCATTCTCTACCTTTTCTGTTATCTACTGTTATGTGAAGGATCTAGGTTGAGTAAAGTTGAAGAAGAGAATATATCTTCAGTGGGTAATAACCTGCTTTTGCTTCCAGTTCAGCCATAATTTGTGTTGAAAGCTTAGCAATACGGGGTTCTGACAGCAATAGGTGGTATTGGAGGTTTTCACATACTCAAAACTTGAGATTAGAGCGTTTTTTTTTTGTCCTTCAAAACCTAGGCAGTTTCTCAAATAAATTGTTCAAAGAACGTTAACTTTGCAAAGTCAAGTTGATGCTGTTTGAAACGTCACAAATGTGGTATTTCTGTAGATGGCATAACCAGGGATACTTCTTCGTGGACTTGCTGACTGTCAGGAACATGATCGGCTTTTGGAGTCCAAAAATTCAGGACATAAAAAAGCTTGAAATGACACACCTCACAGAGGCAGAGTGGAAAAGACACTTGCAAACTTAGGAAAATGGAGCAGAACAGTGGGATGTGTGGCCCTTCCACCAGCTACATGCTGTGTACCTTCCATGTAACATGCCTTGACAGTACATTGGTGTGAATATCACACAAGCCCACAGCTAATGACAGATGTGAAAAACTTTGCAAAGCTCAGACTCTTAAAAGATCTGTGTATGTCACAGAATGAATATTTGTCACGTACCTGACTTGGCCAAAGGGAAAGGGAGAGGTAGGGTTGTTTCAGGCAGTGGACGCAGCAGTAGTGACTCCTTGGGGCGTTACTCTGCTGTACTACAGAGCTGGATGGGAAGCATGGCTGGATTCCCAGGCAAGCCAATACTAGCCACAACAGTCCCTGCTGGTTCCTTCCACAACTTGGGGTGACCCAGCAGCCCAAGCACCACCCCCAGCACCATTATTACTGGCCACATGATGAACCTGCTAGATCATCAAGATGTATGTTACACAACTCAGCACGAGTCCAAAAATGATTGTAAATGCAAGTTAAAAGATGGGGAATTGAAATTTTCCCTCTAAGTTTAGCAGGGAACTGTTAAACTGATCTAGGCTTAAACTGGCTTGGAAGTAGTTAAGTTGAACAAACAGTTTTTGAAAATAACTATGGTTTCTACCTTAGTTAGGTAAGTGCCTGCTTGCACAAGCCATGCTTTCCGTTTCTTTGCACACTGGCAGTAGTATTCTAGATGTCCAAGGCAAAAGTCAAGTTAAAATAAGTGGAAAAGTCCAGCTGCATAAATCAGTGAATATTTTTCTGCTTCTTTGTTGGGCTTAACCTGTTGGAATGGGTATTGAACCAGACATGTACAACATTGATCCACAGGAATGCATGTATGGAAAAAAGTGGAGGGTGATACTGCAGCTGTTCTGATTTAAACTGGCTCAAAATACCGTGTGAGTGTAGTCTGTTTCTTAAGATCTAAGTTCTTGAAGCGAAGCTGGTATCATCTACTGTGGAATGAAGCAGCCATGTTCTTGTCCCTTTCCAGCCTTGCTGTAGCCGCTTGCGTTGTGTAAGGACTTAATGTCTCTCTTGGCTTGCTTTCATGCTGTAGCTAAACTAATCTAATTCAAAAAAAGATTGACCAAATTCTCTGCTTGTTTGCAGGATCTGGCATTCATGTGAGTTGAGTTGGCTAATCCAATGGAACACTAACACCACCCAAATAAACAGTTTTATATTGGAATAGCTTGCTGCATCAACCCGTTTTGTGGTCATACAATTGCTAGCTGTAGTACATGAGGGCAGGGGAGATTGGTGTTGCTCTTCTAGGGAATGGCTCATATTTATGTTGATTTAATTGTAGCTTCAAGGCATTCTTTAAAACAGGAATTTTCTTATGGCTGGGATGCTTCATAGTGTCAGCTTTAGGGTTTTTTTTGTGTTTCTTTGAAGCATCTGGTATTTACTGCTGCAAGGAATGCACTGGGTTACGAAATTAAATGGCTAGTTGCCTAATGTAGTTTGGCAATTCCTATTTTCATTTGAAACACATAATCTAACAAAACTGTACATGGTGTTTTCCGACACACATCTTAAGTCTTAACAGTGAGTCCTGTTAGACAAATAGTTTAAAATTACATGTGTTAAGTTTGCTAGTGATTTGGGGAATTTGAAACTCGTGAGCACTAGTGTGCAGGGTGGGTGGGGGTGGAGGTGGAAAAAGCCTGTAGGGAATAAGCATACCTTGAGACTTAGTGGGCAGGAGATGAAAGGCAATTCATTGGTTGTCTTCTCTTTCTGAGAGAGCACTCTTTTTCTCCACTTGTGTGTAGAACCTAGCAGTAACGTTCTCCACAG